GTCCTCACAGGGCAGACTCCTATTCATCCTTCACGACTCAGTTGAGGTACCACCTCCTTGAGGATGTCTTTCCTGACATCTGCCATCAAGTTGCTTTCTCAGAGCTTCCATGTTCCCTGGGCTTCCTTCACAGACTCACCACATTATGTTGAGGTTACAAGCATAGTCTCTGTCCCTGCCACTAAACTACAGGAATCACTGGAGTGATGGACCACATTCTAGTCATCCTCATACCCCTTGTACTTAGTACAATAGCTGCTTGTCGCTGCTCAGTAAATGTTTGCTTAGCTGAGCACATTCTTCTTGGAAACTTCATTATTTGTTGGTCCTTAATGAAGAATAAGAAGGAGAAGGAGAAGGCGAAGGCGAAGGCGAAGGCGAAGGAGAAGGAGAAGGAGAAGGAGAAGGAGAAGGAGAAGAAAAAGAAGAAGAAGGAGGAGGAGGAGGAGAAGGAGGAGGAGGAAGAAAAAAGAAAAGAGAAGAGAAGAGGAAAGAAAAGAAAGGAAAAGAAAGGAAAGGAAAGGAAAGGAAAGGAAAGGAAAGGAAAGGAAAGGAAAGGAAAGGAAAAGAAAAGAGAAGAAAAGAAAGAAAAGTCCTGGAAGAGACCTTAAGCATTAGCTAGAGTCCATGAACCAAAGACACAAAATATCACTACCTTTATCCTGGCCATTCCTGCTCTCTCGCACAGTGATTGCACTCAGTTCCTCCCTCTTCTGTTCTTCCTTTCATCTCCTCTTTCCTCTGATCCCAGTTAGAAAATATAAAGAGTTAGGAAACCCACAGTTTGAGACACTTATGCCACCTCTTTATTTTACAAATGAGGAAACTGGGTCTCAGGACCCAGATGTCCCTACTCCCATTTACACTTTTATTTTTCATTCTCTGTCTATGTAATCCTTATCTCCATGGGAGTTCACTCTTTTTTTTTTTTTTTTATAATTGAAGGTTATCTTTTTTTTTAATGTTAAATTTATTGTCAAATTGGTTTCCATACAAACACCCAGTGCTCATCCCAACAGGTGCCTTCCTCAATGCCCATCACCCACTTTCCCCTCCCTCCTACCCCCCATCAACCCTCAGTTTGTTCTCAGTTTTTAAGAGTCTCTTATGGTTTGGCTCCCTCCCTCTCTAACTTTTTTCTCCCTTCCCCTCCCCCATGGTCTTCTGTTAAGTTTCTCAGGATCCACATAAGAGTGAAAACAGATGGTATCTGTCTTTCTCTGTACTCTTAATCTTCACTCCATAGACAGCTCGCTGCACCCTCACTCCATTCCATGCACAATGAGGAATCTGGATCTACATCTTGACATTCTAAGATACTGTCTTGGCCCACCTTCATAAGGGCTAAAGCTGCCAGAAATGTTCAATGTAAAGTATGATTCTGATACTTTTTGGATTATATCTCTTTTCCTTTTTGGCTTATAAGCCAGGTCCAAAGGAAACTGTACCTGCCATCTCACTCTGACATAACTGACATTGATGTGTAGGAAGTAATAATTTTAAAAATTAGCAATAAAGTCGACTTTGTTGAACACCTCCTAAGCACTCTGCTAAATGTTTTGCATCCGTGGTCTCATTTCATTACCACCAAGACTGTGCAAGACAGATATTAGGCCCATTTCATAGATGAAAAAGCTGAGCCTCAAAGAGGTCAAGTAGCATGCCCCAAATCATATAGTCAATTAATGGATGAGCCAACATTCAAAACCAGCTTTCTGGTTCCAAAACACACATTTTTTCCCTTCCACTCAACCATGAAGATATTTAAGTGAAAGAAAGGTTCTGTTTAGATGCAGCATCTAATTTCTGTACCCCTTTCTGGAAGCTAGCTCCTTCCTTCCCTTACTCTTCCAAAATATCTCTAGGGAAAGCTAGTTGTTGAATAGGTAAGTTGCCCCAAACTACAGGAGGCGTAGAACAGAAGCCAGGGATCAAAAACTAGGAGCTTGGTCAAAGAATAGAACCCAGTACTATGGGAAAGAGTTGTAAGTCCAGCTCACTCTGTGAATCTAGACAATGTGGTTCCCTCCCATTTGGGAAAGCTTTTAATGGGCTTTTACCTAGTTCTTCACTCTTACCTAGCAGCATCTTAAAAGCACCACTGAACACCTGCCACTGTGTTCCCACTTGGCCTTGAAGGATCGCTCCGTGGGCACAGCAATTGTAATTGAAACTGTGGGAACTCAAAAACTTCCTGGTAATTTCAGGTTCTGCCATGACAACGTGACCATTTTAGCCAAACCAAATAACTTCTCAAACGGTACTCCTGCTAACCCCAGACTCTTCAGACTTTAAAGTAGAGAATAAAGACCCCGCAATGCCACTTTACTCCCTCTCAAACCTTTTCTCTTCCCGAAGTCTGAACCCATGGTCAATTTTTACTCTTTGATTTTGCTTTTTCAAAGCAACCTAGAATCAAATTGGTGGTTGATTCTGAAACCAGAAGTCAGACTTCAACAATGATTCAGCATGCAGGGTTATTCGAAGAACTTAACACAAGAAGTATTATGCCAGGTGACTTCTTATCCATTCCCTGATTTATCCTCACAACAACCTGGTTGGGCACAATTTTGCCCCCATGTTGTAGATGACAGATTAAGTACATTGTCCCACGTCACACGAATGAGAAGATGCTATGCAGAATTTGAATTCAGGGTTGTTGGGTTGTTGCTGTTGTTTGTTTGTTTGAATTCCTTTCACTATTTCACAGCAATCTCCCAACTAAAGAGGCAGAGCTCCACAACAATGGGTAGTTTCAGGAAGTAACAAATGCCCATAGGGGCAGTAAGACATGAAAGGGCAGAGGACGTGTGAATCAGTGCGCTTTAAATAAAAAAATTAGTGGTGAGTAACGGGAGAGGGGTCTGGACAGGAAGTCAGGGCCAGATCATTGAAAGCCATATTAAGGCACTTGGGCACTAGGCAATGCAGAATGTTTGAATAGCTTTAAGTAATTAATTCATCATTCTTTCAACAAATATTTTATGCAGTACCAACTATGTGTTAAGCCCTGGGGACAAAACTGTAAACAGAACAGATGTTTCCTGTCCTCACTGGACCCACAGTCCAACGGGGTCATTTCCATATAGAGTAGAAAGTGCTCTGATAGGGGATGAGTAAGGTGCTAGGGAAGTATTAGAAGGACCAATGAAGGGAAGACTGCCCAGGGGAAATGGTGCCTAAGTCAAGGTTTGATGGAGCGGGAGTATGGGGAAAAGGCAGTCAAGGAGATCCATAGAGTCAGTGGAAAAAGCATGAGCAACGCTAGAGGTGAGAGACTGGAAGGCACACTAGGATAACTGAAAGACTGTAGAGGGGCTGATGAGCATGGCTAGAGATGAGGCTGGAAGGGTTGGACATGAGGCTGGGAGGGTCAAGATCAAGAAGCCAGGCAATGTTGCGAGTGATTTCTGTTTTAGACCACTTTGAGTGTGGTGGCAGCTGGACGCATAAAGTCCTTAGACATAAATTCAAGGCTCTATCTTTAAAACACCACGAAAATGTGGTTCAAATGTGCATGGGACCTCAGGAAGCAAATGTGCACCTCTCCCAATCAGGATGCCTTCAGGGGCAAGCAATAGAAACTCAAGCTGGCTTAAATAATAAGGAAATGATATAGTATATGAAAGGAAGCCCAGAGACAGGGAAAGCACAGCACAGAGGCTCAATGATATAATCAAGCATTTTGGTTTTTTCCATCTCTCCATTCAGCCATCCTCAACACTGACTTCATTCTAAACCTGCTCCTCCTTGCGATTGTAAAATGGATGCCATTAGCAATGGGGGGCTCTGTGCTTCTGCCATCATCTATCCCGAAAGAGAGGGAAAACCCACTTCCTCGAGCATGGAACCTAAGTCCTTTCACTTAGCTGATTATACTCAGAAGTCACTCCTGAGTCACCGGCCATGGGGAGAATGCCATGCGTTTATTAATTTAGATTAATCAAGATCTACCGTTGAAACTGAAAATGGTGTCAACTTTCCCTGGGTTTCATGGTAATGGAGAATATGGATGCTAGAAAATAATCACATGTGAGGAAGAAGCTGGGGAATGGGTGCAGAGTCCACTGCCCTCCACCATGACAAACTGGGCACCTTTGCTTTTGAACAAGTGACCACAGCTCGGATACCCTGTCTGCTGGAGCAGACAAGCCTCAGGTCAATCCCTCATCGGTTATCCATCCGGCAACAACAACAACCAAGTGGTCACTCTGATCACCCAACTTGGTAAGTTTAATTATATGGACGTCATTGTGTGTCTAAACAGTCCACACACCGGACATAAGCAATCCTAGATACAACAGAAGTTTATGAAACTAGTCTTCATACTCACATAAGTAACAAAAAGATACTGTCTCAGCCAAGATCTTTTCTCTTTTTTCCTTCACAGAATAACGTTGAGGATCAATTTCTCCAGCTTAACATCACCAGCCTTGGCAGCAGCTCATATTTGGAATATAAATGATGTCATCTGGTTGGCCTTTTCCCATCACAAACAGTAAATCTCCGAATCTGGAGCGATCTTTTATTTGGTTACACATATTGTACAGCATCAAGGGGTTAGAACACATGTGCTGGAGATTATTAAAATCATCTGGAGGAGGATGGCTTAGTATTGGAAAGCCCAGAACTTACGACCCTTTCACGCCTGGAATCTCCATCAACTCTACTTTTGCTCCTGCCTTTTCAAAGCAACAATTATGGCCGATTGGCTCGTAATCCTTTGTGGACTGAAGTGTTTCTGGTGCACCATGTTTCTTCTCCAGAATAAGATATCCCTAACATAGTGAATGTAGAACACAGAGGCCAGGATGAGGAGTCAGGAAGCCAGCCTCAGCTCAGCAATGTTTACATGCTCTTTGCGTATTTCTCATCTATAAAATGGAGATGATAATAACCAGCCTCATAGGACTGTTTGAGAGGAATAGTAAAAAAATTACGAGATCTTCGTTCATCACTTCATAATTTGCTAAAATCTTTCACATTAGCATTAGACTTACCTTGTACAGGGAAGCCACTCAAATGCTTGTCGGACGACATGGAGGTTGGTGGTAATATGGCTTGATGGTTCTGAGTCAAATTGGCTCACATTTCTGAACGTGGTTTTCCTCGTTACATGCATTCAATAATGCACTGAATTATAATATGCGTTCAATTTTAGCTTCTTTTTAGGGCTGTTGGAGGAATAAAGGAAATAATACACATGAAGCATGATTGGGTCAGGCACATCATCATGGTCAAGAAATAGAGGCTCCCTTTGCTCCACTACCTTCCTCTTCCAGAGTCTCATGAACTGGTAATAATACTGACATCCCACAGAACTGGTAATAATACTGACATTCTAGCTGTGGAAGGACACAGTGCTGGAGGAGACAGAGCAGCAAGTCCAGGCTCTGTTCTTAGCTTTCCAACTTCCTAGTTGTGTGAACTTGAGTTGTGTAAATTTTCTCAGAGTCTCTGTTCCCTCGTCTGAAAATGGAAGGAGCTGGTCTAGATCTGTAGTTCTCACATTTTTGAAATCCAGAGATCAAACAACCACACAAAACACCCACAGACCAGGAGCCTAACATAGCACTGTCAACTCTGTTATTTGATGAATAGGCATTTTTCAGGTTAACAGCTACTTACCATTATAATCATCTCAGACAAAAGGGTAAAGGACACCAGAAGAGAAGGAAGAGAAAGACATCAGAACACAAGGCATCACTTTAAATGGGATGAGTTAATTTTAGGAAAAGAATGCTGCATTGTCCTCTTTTCCTTATTTTTTTCTTATCATTCCACAGACTGGTGAAAATTTGTCAGGACCAACATGGGTCTTCAGAGTCGTGTGTGGAAGCCAGAAGATTGTACGACCTGGAAGGTTTCCTCTACTAGGAAACCTCTGTGATTCTATCATGATTCCATCATGGCGAGAGGTGATGGCGCTAAAACAACAATTTATTTAGGGAAAATTAATAAAACAGTGAGTCAGTCCAGAGAAGAAATCAATCCAATAACTGATTTTGCTGAACTGAACGTTTCTGGGCCTAAATAGGGAATTTAATTTATTCAAAACAGACTAAGATATCATATACGTTTTGACACACGCAGGCATGCTCCACAAGTCCTCAAGACACTTCCTTGTCCCTCATGTTAATCCTTCTGATTCAGCCTTCCCTCTTCACTGACTGTAAAATGACCATTATCACACGTACAGTTACATCAAAATGTGAGAGAGATGTGAGCAGACCAAATCCATCCAAGATATCCCTAACGCAGGCACCACATGTTCACCCTGAGGTCAGCTTGTCGAACACCTGCCATTCTCTAATCTCAAGCCAGAAAAATGATCTTTGAGCTCCACTGTGGTGCTTTCAAAGTCCCCGCGTGAACACCACATATTTTCTTACTAAGATTCTAAATAGAGACTCCCTGATTCAGAGTCAGCACTCATTTTTAATGAGGCTGGTTATCTGGTTTTGACTAAATTGGAAATAGACAAGCAGACTAGAGGTAGGAGAAGCTATTGAGACAGGTCAGTGGTTGAGGCTAGGCGTCCACTCCCAGAAGGAAAAAAAATCCAAAACAAACACACAGAACGGTAGTGCCACTTAGAACAACAGCAGGTGTTTATAACTTTGATTTTAGGTCATCAAGAAAACTCTAATCTATATTCTATAATCTTTTAAAAGAGGTGAATGGTTATAGGTTTTAACCAAACTGGTTGGAATAGATGCTCAAAGGGGCACATCTCAGCTCTCAAGAAATTCACCCAAAGTAGGTAGATGCTAATTCTCCTATGATCCGACATAAATGAAGTAGAACAGTAATAGGAACAACTGGCTGTCTTGGTGTAGTTTGCCTCTTATGAAGTTCTCTTTATATCCCTTTTTACACTTAATATTCATATCAACCTTGTGAGGGACAAATTGCTATTATCCATTCATCTCTCCAAATGAGGAGACTGAAACTCAGCGTGGTTTAGTAGCTTGTCCAGGATAGCAGAGTTAGTAAGGGGCAGGGCACACAAACCCAAGGCTTCTGACTTTAACCCCAATGTTTTTCCCACTCTCTGCTCCTCTCTCATCCTTATAAATAGCTATAAGACTACGAGGTTCAAAGGAACTTCCTTCTGGTTCTCAGGACCATTATAAATGCCACTTGCCCTGGGAAGGAAAATAAAGTCCATGCTCTTTGCTGGCCTATGTGCTAAGTCATTGGCGCCCAGAAATAACCTCCTGGAGACTACGGGCCTTGTATTTACCACAAAGCAGTGGGTAAATAACTAGTTGGTGTTTTAGTGTTTTGTGGTCACTTAATCTGTTGTGTTCCTTCCCAAGACTCTGAAGGTTTCCTTTTTCAGTTAATTTTTATTTACGTTTCTGAGGTCTGCGTTGTTTGGGGTTTGGTTCATTGGATGTTTTTCTTGGAGTGTGCTGCCATTGGCTTCAGGAGGTTTCTGCTCTGCTATTTCATGGAATTTTCCCCGAGTGTGGATTGCTATGTATTTCTTCAGGGCAGTGAGCCAGGGCAGCGTTGGTATGCAATCTGTTCCTCTGGCCAAAGGACTTCTTGTCACCCATCCACATGGCTTGATTGTATTTCTCCACTGATAATTTCCCTCTTGTATGTTAATGTGCAGCAACCTTGGAGTTCAGCCATCTTGTATGTTGTATGTTATTGGCTCTGGATAAGACGAGCCCCGTTGCTTCTGATAGAGGTTGTGTCAACTGATTCTACTAGTTTGTTCTATCAGCCCAGGGTTGGGGAAGGAGATACACAGCAAATATTATGGGAAGAGTGGAGAAGGCTCATAGGGTTAATGTTACAGACTAAGCGAGTGTGTGATTGAAAACGTCCAGCTCTCCACACAGCTCTATGCCCCAGTAGGAGACAGAGCCAGGAATGCCAGGTGCCTCTCAAGCACCACACGCTCCCATGACCCTCAGCAAGCCTTTCTTCCTCTGTCTTTGACAAGACCATAAATGATGTGCCAGAGAAAAATAAGAATTTGTTCCATATCAGAAAGTTTTGTTCTTTAGATGTTTTCTTTGTGGGTAGAAAAAAAAAAAAAGAAAGGTCAAGTAGTGTTTGGTCATTAAAATGGCATGTTTCTCTCAAAGCTTTCAGGATAATTAAGATGCAAAACACACATGGAGGCAGAAAGTTGCCCTGGACAAAGCCTTTGTTTGGCTCTTTCATTTATTGTACTTCATTTCATTGTTTGGTTTATGTGTTCTATACTGCTACTCTTTCCACAACGAATTTGGGATAGCTTACAAAAATATGTCAATACAAAATAAAATATTTCTAAATCATTGAAGAGGCAGGGCGAATGGATAATTTTAAAGATGTGTGTACAATTCCTGTTTAGAATTTCTTAACAGATACCCTTGTAAAATTGTTGAAAGCTATTCACACAATTGACTCCAAAGGCCTACTGTTTATCACTTAAAATGAGCTGTGGCTCTCTAATCTACAGTGTGAACTGGGTACATTTAAGAATCTGCAGCCATTGTATATATAAACCACATCTTCTTTATCCATTCATCAGAGGATGGACATTTAGGCTCTTTCCATACAATGGAATACTACTTGGCAATGAGAAAGAATGAAATCCTGCCATTTAAAGCAACGTGGATGGAACTGGAAGGTATTATGTTAACTGAAATAAGTCAGTCAGAGAAAGACACATACCATATGTTTTCACTCATATGTGGATCTTGAGAAACTTAACAGAAGACCATGGGGGAAGAGAAGGGGGGGAAAAGTTACAAACAGAGGGAGGGAGGCAAACCATAAGAGACTCTTAACTACACAGAACAAACTGAGGGTTGATGGGAGGTGGGGGAGAGGGGAAAGTGGGGGGTGGGCATTGAGGAGGGCACTTGTTGGGACGAGCACTGGGTGTTGTATGGAAGCCAATCTGACAATAAATTATATTAAAAAAATAATAAAAATTTAAAAAAAAATTAAAGAATCTGTACCCAACTTAATTTTAATTTGGAGGTGGAGGAGACCAACTTCAATCCCCATGCTGACTTAGATGGTCTAGCACACCTCTGAAAGCCAACAGTGTTCTTATTTGCAAGTAGATAAAAGGGGAACTAACATTTACTAGTTCTATAATACATATTAAGCATTGTATAAGTATACTTGACATTTAATAATTCATTGAGTTCTCCCAACCACTCTGCGAGAGAGGAACTACCTCCATTGGACAGATGACAGAACCAGATAAATAACTTGCCTAAGTTCACCCAACTAGCAGAGACAAAATCAAGATCAATGCAGGAACATTTGACCTCAAAGCCAACATTCTTCTTATTTCATTAAACTATCTGCCTGAGAGACAAGTAAAAATTTGTGGAATATGCTTCCTCCAAGTTAGTGAGTATTAAGTTCTCAAAGGTAGTCCATTCAAAGGTTGCCCCCAAACTGTAGGTTGAACAGGACATAACTGTAAGTTAAAAGAAAATCAGTGTCTGGTGGTTACAGTCAGCAAGAAGTTATCTGTGGCTACTGGTACTCCTATATAAATGTCCTCCAACCAGCCCAGAAAAAATGTATCCCAAATTCCTCAAAATTAGAAGCCATAACAAAACAGGAAGAGTAAGAAGTTATAGTCTGGATACAGAGGAAGCAAGGAAGCAATCCTACTAATCGGGGACAGAATGAACATTGGTGTTTCTTGGGTTGGCAAAGTCACTTTCAAGAGCTGCAAAAGAGACAAGAAAAATAACCCTGACATTTGTAATAACAGCTGCCACAATGGGTGTCTACTAGGTGCTGGGCACACTCTATGCTTCATTACTAATCTTCATAATGGGTCTCTCCTTTTTCAAATGAAAAAACAGAGGCTCAGAGAAGTTTCATAGATGGCTATGCAAGTCCACTAATAAGGTTCAGAGCCAAGGTCTCAATCATGAGCTTGGCTAACTCTGAAATCAGTACTCTTTACTGTTTTGCTGCTGCTCCTGTGCTACCCAGGCCAACCTGGGGCAAAGCTAAGGCAAACGGGGCAACACTGATGCCCAAGATCAAATTATGAAGGAACAGCAGCATCTACTTCTGGAGTCTTGTAGGCATCAGAGAGATATCTGCAACAGCAGTACTCTGGGGAAAACATGATCTCCAGCCCACTGTCAAGACAGGGGAAGAGGCTTGAAAGGAGAGAACTGGGACCTTTGGA